AATCGATGCACAAGCTGGCCTCAATGACCTCCAACCCATTCTTGCTGCCAAGACCCGGGCCCTCGCCAATGCCGCACTCGCATCTTGCTCATCTCGACGATGCGTGGACCACCGCAGGCCTCCGTCTTCACCAACACATCGCAGCCCGCATGCCGTCCTCGTCACCTCGCGTAACGCCGCTGTTGCTACCAACAACCGCCTCCTCCATCAAGCTTGGCACCTTTGGCCCGGACGACGCTGCTGTTGTCCTTCGCAACTACCTCGCCAAGGGCTCACCTGAGTGGGCAAACACCCTTGCTCTCGACGATCCCCGCATCGTCTCCCTCGCGACCTTTTGCCGTGGGCATGCCCTCGCCCTCGCCGTCCTTGGCTCGTCCATTTCTGGCGAGGCTGCACTTGACGACGCTGTTGAGGACGCTGCAGATGCAACCGAGTTTGCCATGGATGAGCACCGCGATGATTGCGGCGGATCGGACGCCAAGTACGCCCACATCTTTGACATCATCACTTGGACCCTCGGCGGTGCCATCCCCAAGCATGTCCGCAAGGTGGCGCTGACTATTTACGCCATGCTCGCCGTCTTTCCATCAGACGCGCCCATCGACGTCGCCAACTTCCGCTCCGCGATCGACGCAAGCAATATCAAGTTTGCTAGGGCCCTCGATGCCCTCGCCAACACGTCGTTGCTGCGCGTCGTTGCCACGGATGGCGGCGCCATAACCGTAGTCGAGCTGCACGATCTGCACCTCGAGTACATTCGCCATCGGCTTGAGGTGTGCGTTGACGACATCCCTTCCCTTCCTGCCCGTCACCTCGCCGTTGTCGCCGGGGTGCCTCCGCCTGGCGCCACGCCAGAGTCCGCTATGGAGACCATGACCTCTGGCACTGCCTCCGATTGGATCGTCACCCGCGGTATTTTGAAAGATTGCAGCTGGAGCAAACCATGCTGCCGTTGCCGTTGCTCTCTCCTGGCCGTGGATGAAAGCCCGCGCAGACGACTCGCTTGGTGGCCTCCTCCATGATCTGCGTTGTGTTGTGCGCCTTGGCTGTGAAGGAGCCAAAGACGTTGACGAGGTCGAGCGTGCGCTGTCGCTCTCACGTGAAATCATTGAGAGCGGTACGTCGCACATCGAGACCGAGCTTGTTGCTTTGACTTGCCTATGTCAAGGCGTCCAAAGCCGTGAAGGACATGGTTGCTGCTGTGAGCGAAGATGCCTCGTTTGGGGCTCTTTTTCCATCGAGAGCCGTGGACCCTTTTCGCGCATCGTGGTGCTGAGCGCTTTCGCTTTGATGGCTCGTACGAAAAAGTCATCAACATCGGTGGCTCGCTGGTTGCTGGTGAATGTCGGAAGAATGTGGACGTACTTGACGTGCTAACTGGTGAACGCGTGGAGGTGCTGGAGGGCCACACCAGCAGGGTGCGGGGTGTGTTTGCGCTGCCGAGTGCGGATGGCCAGCTGCCTGTCCTGGTCTCGTGGTCGAACCACAAGACGATCCGGGTGTGGCATGCTGTGGACGACGGGACGGGTGCCATGCGGTACACCGCGGACAGTGCCTCCTGTGAGGTGCTGGAGGGCCACACGAACGATGTGCAGGGTGTGATTGCGCTGCCGAGTGCGGATGGCCAGCTGCCCATCCTGGTCTCGTGGTCGAGAGACAACACGATCCGTGTGTGGCATGCTGCGGACGACGGGACGGGCGCCATGCGGTACACCGCG